TCATAACCTCCACACTGCTATCACTGAGCATGGGCTGCATCGCATTCCTGGATCGCCGGTGGGTTGGTGTTGGGGTGCCTGGCATGTCTGGCGTTCCCGTGAGCTGGGAGGCCACGTTGCCCACTCCGGGGGGCAACGCGTGCGATATACCACCACCACGGGGTCTCTGTGCCTCCATGGTGGTTTATAGGTGCCAGAGGGCCCCTATCGGTTGATTAACGCGTGAAAATTACGTGTTTTTTGTGGGTGCTGATTTTTTGATGATCCGATCGTCGGCTACTCGCCCGTTGTGGGTCCGTGTAGAATATGAAACAGCGGAGAAAGATGCGTGAAGTATTCCGAAATTAAGTATTCACAAAAGCTGTCGGACGGTAACTGTTGTAATAATATTTCTTTGGAAATCACAGGTGGGACCGAGGAAGGCACGAATAGACTCTCCAGTGCAGATGAAGTTTCATTACGGTCAACGGTAGGACGTCGCAAGACCGCGTCCCATCGGGCATGACCAGAAGGCGAGTCTTGGGTTCCAGACAGCGATCCTTGAGGTGCCACAGGATCTTCGTTGATGTTCTGAACCGACGGAACCAAATGTGGGGTGATCAGTCCGCCGGCCGGCTGCAAGGTCGGCTGCAGCTGGTTCGGCGAACGTGAAGTTCGCTCAACGCCCGGAGTTAGGGGGCCATTGAAGCGATGAAAAGAGCAAGCCGAAACACAATCCCGTCGCTGACAGGCACCGCAGGGACGCTGGCGGTCACATCGTAACTTGGAATGCCTGCAGGGCTCGCAACTAAGACACTTCCGTGGCTTCCGCGCTCGACGCGTGGGACCTGGTTTTCCTGACGCCGATTGTTGATGTAGTGTGTGAGCATCACTCCGTATGGGTGTACTACATTCTCCTTGCTGGTTCATACTTGTAGGATACCGAGTCCCGTATCGGCGAAGAGCAGAGAAAACAGACGGAGAATTGGACGCTTCGGAAAAAAGTGAGTCTACGGTAGTCGCACGGCCCGGGAATGGGCTTATGTCCGAACACGCCACTCTTGTATGGATTCCACAACTCCGGTGGCGGATCGGCTGCAAACGGAGAACTGGTCTTAGCAGATCAACTCTCGGGGGAAAGATCACTGTAGTATACGGAATACTTAGTACGCGAGTGAGAACCCCATCATCTGCGAGGTCATAGTGACTGATCTTGGCTAACATATAAAGTGTAGTTGGTCCATAGGGGCTTTTCATCTTCATTTCTTTTTCATTTCACTCGCATTACCAATATCAAACGGAAATAATTGCCATGGAACCGATTCAGGCAGCACAAACAGTATGGTTTGGCGTGAGTTAACTACCTAGATTGACCCTTTGGTTGAGGAATTCACCATGACATGGATCAATACGCATAGAAAAGATTCAGATTGTTGACCATTCATAACAGGATGGAAGAGAGCAAGAAATTTTACGCTACATCTTCAGTCTTCCTCACCTTGAAGAACTGCATGGCCAACCGGAGGCAGTTCTGGCAGAAATTGACAACTGGAGCAAAAAGAACCAAATCCTGATGACGATTGGCCAAGAACGAGGAACGATTATAACGGATCTCATCAGTAAGACCCAACCGAAGGTCATGGCTGAGCTAGGCGGATACATTGGATACTCAGCAATCAAATTCGGAAGTGCTGTGCGCAACGAAGGCGGAAGATGCTACTACAGTTTTGAACAGAATGCGGAATGGGCTTCTGTGGCGTCAAAGCTGATCGAGCTAGCCGAATTACAAGACTTCGTCACCATTATTCCCGGTCCAAGTTCAGAATCGCTTCTGGCTTTTGGCAGTCAGAGGCCAGACCAACGGATTGACATGCTATTCATTGACCATGCGGAGGCATTGTACCGCAAAGACCTGGGGATATGTGAACAGCGAGGCCTGTTAGCCCCTGGTGCTTATGTTGTTGCAGACAATGTATCTGGCTCATGCGCCCAGGATTACGTGGCTTGGGTGATGCGAAATAAAAGCGACGTGTCAACCAAAACACACAATGGGATCTACGACTCGTATATGTCTTCCCACGAATTACCAAATGGAGAAACAGTATGAATCCCGTGTGCTTTTTTGCGTTCAATGATTAGCTCACGGAAATATTCTATAGGATGCTATGATTGTGTCAAGATTGAAGTGACGTGATTGACTTTTGACTACTGAGCCTCGAGGACCTAACCAGATAAGAATATTTCGCTCTCAATCTTGCTCGCTCATACTCCGTACTATGCGTATAATTTTGGGCTTTAATTCAGTTCTTCTACCATGACACCTGTCGCCTCGTCAATGTGTCTCAGTCCAACTCCTTGATAAGATAATCCTTAGTAGTTGCTAATGAGTGGAAAGTCAATTAGAATTGCCCATGGTTAGAGTTATTGTCTAGTTCGAAAAGAATTTGCCCTACTTTACCGAGTCTACTTCGTATAGGAAAGATCATTCAGAAAATTACACCATGATCACACAAGCCATGTTTACTCTTTGAAATCAGCCCTTCAAATACCTTTCTTACCAGTGGATAATCTTTGCAAACATTAGGCTCTCAGCGAGCCCACTGCTGGAAGATTCATGCTAACACCCATCATTTGCTATGAATCTGAAGATGATACATACACAGGAATATTGATTATACCAATCGCGCTTTCTCAGATGAAAAGTGTATGATACAATAGAGAAAGAGGGTTTTATTCAGTGTTTACAATCCTTGAGACACGAATCAGCACGTTGAAGTAGTCTTGTTCCTCTCCAATGCACAACCACAGTGCGTTTTCAAGAAGTTCCAACTGGGATCTACCATTTCATACTGAAGCCTGCTTCTTGATGGCAATGAATATCCCGGTCTCTCAACATCCAGGGGATTGCACAGGCAACCTTTGAGCTTCTGGTAGTGACCGAAACCCAAAGTCAAGCAAAACTTACCCAACTGGTCAACCTTAGAAGTGCCCACCTTGCGGAAGAGACAAATTTGGGCATCCTTTGTAGTCGCAAGTGTTCTTTGTTCTTAAGTCAGCAAATAGCCACTGAGAAGCATAATGGAATATCACCTTGTAAACTTCCGTCCCCCACCAACTGAAATCCTGCGATACGCCTGTGTAGAACACTGCAAAAAAGATAACCAATCCAGCTAACGAGACTGAAGAATCGAAGGCACTGCCGAGCACATAATTATAACTCCGCCACCACGCGTTGTGATTTCTTCGAATATAATACCCGAAGACGAGACCAACAATAGCCCAGCTGCCGTAGTTCATGCCAGTCGCAGGGGGGATATAATTTAACCCCCCTAGAAACAGGGGCACATTGACATATTTCCACATGGACTTTGGATATCTCCGCTTTAAGAGATTCACAACCATTGGAAGAGTACCACCAAGTATCAAAATGTAAAAGAGGCTTCTGTAACCGGAAGCGACGGAGAAGAATCGACGTGGGCCAATAGCCCCCCAAATGATACTGGTGTTGAAATCAGTCCTTGCGAATGGACAAGAAAATCCATTGATAGCGTCGGTGGTGCAAATCCCTTTGATATGCCCCAATGCCCAGTTCATGACGGAGACTTGACCGATAGTCCCAATACCAATGCCGACACACTGTACTAGAAATACCACTTCCGCTTTTATCTGTTCATATCGTTAACTCAACAGGCTCAACTCAGCGTTCGGGGTTTGAGCATACAAAATAATAGGAGCATAGCTTCATGTCCTGAGAGAACGAGAGTCCATTCAAGATTGTCGTGTAACCCAGTCCCACGAACCAGTTATTTGCCAGAGGTTTGCCTTCCCAGAGGAACCCACCAACGATTCGGCAAAAGATTTCAATGCCGACTTTGAGGTTGGCAGTAGCGTAGATCAAGGTCACCTGCGCCACATTAGCCTTATTGCTTGAGCTTATTGGAAAAGGTGGAATACTAAACTCACAGGGTAATAGAAAATACCACTAATTAGGAAAGAGAAAATTACTCCATACCATCGTAGATCGAGATCCCAAAACTCGATCGAGAAGATAGCAAAAAACAGACCTAGAACAAGACAGACAGTATACCACCACATAGGAACGTCTTCTGTCTTCTTTGGTATCTCTTTCACGTTCTTTGAGTCGTTCCACCATAATGCTCGGGTGATATCCCAAGGCTTTTTCATAGCTGCCAGCAGCACGTCGCCATGCTCGAGAGATACCCATACTATGAGCGAAGCCAACGTCGCGATGGCCAGGGCGAATGAATTCAATGCGTATGTGATGGGCATAAAGACCTAAAGACAGGTAGTAATGTTAGTGAAACTGGTGCGCATTTCGATGGCTGCTTGAAGATACTATGGCGTAACAAACAGGTGGTCTCTTACCGGTGAATAGCTCTCGTATTTGGAAACATCGAGTTGGAACATATCGCCTTCTGCCAGGATCTTGGATACGTTGTAAATATTTCCAGTGTTATCATAGACTGGGGAGCAAGCATCAGTATAGTTCGAAAAGCGAGATTTGAGTGAGTATTTGACGCACTGCTAGAACTCTGGAACGGCAGATACCCAACATTCCATACGTTCATGTAATAACAAGCCGTGGCCACGATGTATACCCAGAACACAAGCGAGATAGCGACATTTGCGATTGCCCAGAATGGCACAAGCAACGGAGATGTAACATATGCTACTTGGCTCCCTGTTCAATACAAATGATTTATTAGTAATCGCCAAACTCAAGGGTTCAAAAACACTCACAATCGAGAGTAAGAGGCAAAAGCCCCATGCCAGAGGATACACCAAACAGTTGGTTAACCAGGCGATTGGACGGGTTTATCCAACAGGGAAAGCTGAAGTAACTCAATGCCGGGAATAGAAAGCCCGGTAGCCAGTACCAGCAGAAAGACGCAAAGAACACGACAGAAAAGAACGTAAAGCCCGAAACCTTCCAACTTGATGAACTGTCCAAAAACCAGTTAGGTACAATCGCGATGGTTGGTGAGATTGAAGTAACAAACCTTGCGTTTTCAAGCCCCCCATGACGGTGTAAAACTCCCGTCAAAGCAGTAGTGCTGAGAATTCCGGGCCAGATAATATCCCGAGGCTTTATTAGAGTTGATCTAGTAAGTCCAGAAAACGCAAAACCAATCAGATACAATGCTAGTATCATCATTATCTCGAAGCCCCATCCAGTTTCTTTCCCGAAAAACATCTTTTGTTCTATAAGAAGATCGACAGTCATTCGGGTATAGAAGCTAATGTTTGCCATGATGAAAATAAGCGTATGTTCCTGTGGTCATTAGTTCTGTAGTGTTTCTATCCAAATTGATAACATACCTTCTTGTTGAATGGATGTGGGTTCAAACGGAGTTTCCATCTCCAAATTGTGACCTCGCAGTTTGGAACCCAGCGGTCCCAGAGACGGGCAACCGGGAAAGCCAGCAATTGGGCCGTTGACTTCGCGATACTGATAGATGGGCTTCGCAGCTCAAAAATTGTATTCAAACCGCAGCCAACGATGGAAAACACGACACCGATGACCCACATCCGAAGAGTTAGAGCACCTTGGCTTGCATTCTCATCTTCCAAAACTATATGGGCTGCAGAAAGCTCCTCATCGATTGAATTGACATCATCTAATAATTGAGTCAACTCTTTGTATCAAGAAAGGAGGTAAATGGAAAGTGAAAAGAGCGGACCGGGAGTTTGAGCCTGTGAGGCTGAAGGGAGATGTTGCTTGTCCATAACGATTCAAGGACCCCTTGAGTTTAGACGAAAAAAGAATTTGAGAAATAGAGTTGAGGGGGTAAAATCGGATCAGATAAGATCAAAGTATTTATATGCTCAACAGTCTTACGTCCCCACATGGATTCTAGCGAGAGCTCAAACGTCCCAGAGCAGCACGTCAATTGGAGGGTCAAGTATTGCGGAAAGTACCAGCAACTGATATGTGGGTTGTTCATATAAATTACACAAGTTTACGCCGAGATCGTCATGTATTCTCGTGCGCTGGCACATGCTCTTCTTATAGGTCCACCGCAGTCTCAAGATCTCAAAGGCTGTATCGTTAGAGACTCAAAGATTCAATAATAAAAGGTGATGTTATGGATTGGACGCAACTGCAAAGCTGCCGAGATGTTAACATGCACGAGATTTGGTGATACATAGGGGGGAGGGCTGAGTGAGGCATTAAAGTGCGTAACCCGTAACCAAATTCCCACAACTCGGACATATGTCCCTAGTGGCCCAGTGCCCCCTTGTCTTGGATTGATATCGGCCAGGTCAAGCGACGGCAGAAGTAGACGGAGAAACCGGACATATCGGATACGTGATCGGACTTGGAATTTATACTTCGGATAATGCAACTACGACGGCAATTTCACCCTTTTATGGCATAGAACTATGAGAAAGATAGGGAAAATAGAAGCAGAAGAAAAGTGTGACTGCTCTGATAATGAACACCCAACCTTGATTGCCAAAAGATTTAGAGAGTATCTTGATACGTACTTCGAATTGCTCAAGTCAGGTCTCAAATGGTTTTACTATTTGAATGAGGGACAGAAATGACATAGCCCCTACCAGTTTACCCAATGCATCAGATTGGCTGTAAAATTTGCGGAAACACAAGATTTCATGTTGTAGTATTCTAAGAATGAAGCTAGTGAATGGAAGGCTAAATAGATTCTGATAAAACAAAAAATGCAGTGGAGATGGGAGAGCCAAAGGCTTGCCTAGCAGTTACATAGACATCTGCACAACATTTTGAAATGATGGCAAGAAAGGTAGTTATCACCAAGTTGGCAATGTATACGGTCTAACGATACCTGATGGGCGGAAGTCTATTTATTGGTGTTCGCATACTACCATGTAGATTTTGTGGTTGCAGATGACGAGGCCGCGTTTTTGAGTACAGTCGAGCTGACCATTTTCTCCGCAACTACCAACAATCATTCTTCAATGCGTCATATTTTCACCATCATCATATAAAATGTCTCTTTCTCAGGAAGCTCAAGTGCAAATGGCTATTGAAGCTTATAAGAAGAAAAAAAACCAGATCAAAATCGCGCGCTGCTGCAGTATTTGGTGTGCCAATCACTACCCCAAAGGCACAGGCCAGGGAAGAGTTTGAGAGATAGCTTTATTTAATCTGACCACTGTCAATGGTTGTCTATACAGATGGGCCCAAAGGAAAAGAAGGCACGGCTGCGGGAGCTGGCTCTGGGCCGCCTCCTTGCTGCCAGGAGTGGTCATGGTGACTTTGCAGAGTACCGTTAGCGCTTTAAACATGATGATGCTTTGCTGGTATGCTCGTGTGGCCGCAGAAAAGACCCCTCCCACTTCTATTTTTGCCGTGAGGGTCGCAAAGCAGAAGCACATCCATGGGGCCAACAACCAGTATCAGACATCCTTACCAAAAAGACAGGATTCACTGCATACGCAGACTAGCTGAGGAAATCACAGTTTTACACAGCCATCTGTAAACGCTATTAGGATGCTAAACACATCAATCTGGGAACTCATAGGCTTACCCCGGACCCCCCCTTCCTCCTCCATCCCTCCCCCCTCCTATCAGGCGTTTCTCTCTCCCCCCATTTTCCCTTTTGTTCATCCCCCTCTTTCCTGTTTTCCTCCCACCTCGGTTTCCTTTTCAAGAAAACCCCAAGATGCGCAGTTTACTGCTTAACAGTTGGAAAAAAAAAAAAAAAAAAAAAATCCAAGCAACCCCCCGCGCGGGGGGCTACCTGTATTTAGATGATAGATGGTAGTTTAGCTAGAAGAAAGGCAGTTCCGATCTGCCCGTCGTATGTCCCGCACCGGGACCAGGGCTCTTCCGCTTCCGAGGCTCTCAAGGAGTTGTAGAGGCATGGAAAGACCCGACCCTCGACGTTAAATAGAGACACACACACACACACTACTACTAGACTACACGATGGCGCCTGTCACTTGCCTTTTGGCCAGAGACCACGCCCCAGGCGTGCCCCAGCAACAGGACAACAGCCTAATTAGAGTGTCATGATCAGCTTTATGAATGACAAAAAAAATATATATATATTTTATGCTAGATTGGGTTTTGCCGATGTCTAATAATAAGCGTATTGAAGTGACCCAGTAAATTAGCAAGGTAACTAGGGATTAGCCGTCCAAGAAATGACCCAGCGTTCAGAATCGCTAGGAGCTGATACGAAAGCCGAGTAGGTACATCATTTGCCAAAGCGTAAGACGAGATATAGGATATAGGAACAAATAGCCCCCATTCTATAAAAAAGGCTGACAGGGTCGTCATCAGAAACTCGGGGTCTCGGAAGACCCAAAGATCTGGTGATATAGTTTTCTTTGAGATGGATTTGAGGGCAATCGCGAAGTGACCAAGAGGCAAGCAGTTGTGAGACAAACCAGATAGATGAGAGCAACTACACGAGTTGCCCAAGTAAATCCTATCTTACCAATGAGGGTTTCAAGGACAAGAGGAAGATCACGCCGCCTATGGAGCCACCGCTGGCTGCAATTCCGGTTGCAAGTCTCCGCTTTCGAAAAAAAGAAGTGGGCGATAACAGAGATCGCAGGCGTGAAGATGAGCGGGGTGCCTAACCCTCCAGCGACGCTAATAGATAAAATAAGCTGCCAGGATTTGTTGCAAAAACCAAGGCTGATCATCATTGCCATGACTAGGATGGATCCTAGCAATATCAGAAGCCGAGGTCCACGAGCATCAAAGATTGGCCCAATCTGGATGCCGCAGAAGGTCAGAAACGTAAATAGACCAAAGACCCAACCGGCCTTCCCCGAGCCATATTGCTCCAATTGATGTGTTTCGAGATACGCCTGGAATGTGCCAATCAAGTTGACTAGGCCCATGAAACTTCCAAAAACACATAGCCACCCTTGAGTGCCTCCTTCTGGATATTCTCCGGAGATATCAGGTGATTGTGTTGCTGATGAATGTGGGGACGAGTATCCCATTTGAATTTGCAATTCTTCCGTATTATTGCCGGAAGACTCTCGGTGCAAAGGGTTAGTAGGCTGGTTTTGGTCCGTTGTAGTCGCCATTCTGGAGCGCCTGTAGTAATTTGGGGACCGTCCCTTTTCTGAATGTTGCCACTGAAAAACATTTGCCGCAAAGTAGGTGAAAAGAAATTTGAAATTTGAGTACTCCGTATAGTATATTCTATTGGATTGTTGGACTTAGGGCAGCTCTGGAAAAGTTGTACCGGATTTATTATGATTTATACAACTAGATACGAGCCAAGAATAGTACTACCACGCTTCATCGGAAAATAAACCACGTCTGAACGCTAAATGACCCAACCGAAGAGACATCCAGTGATTTGCGGGTTTTCTGACGGCACTTCACGACGGTTTCAGCAAGTCATTGCCTCGGAGATCGGCACGGAGCTATAAGGTGGCGTCGGAAATCAACAGCTATCATCTCCGACAACCCTTGGGAGCAACGGACACTCGTTCGGGTCAAAAGCTTCCGCCGGGAAAAATCTCGCAGAGGAAATAAATCGAAGGGGGCTCAGTCTCATAGACATTTAAAAGAACCCCATTTATCTTCCCTGACCTCCAAAAGTCAGTCATCCACGTCGTCATCGTGATCCTCGTCAACTGATTCTTGTTTCGGATCTTGTCGCCTGCTTGAGTTGAATTTCCCGCCGCAATCACCATCAATTATGGCCGCGCAGAGCAGAGTTTCATCACGTGGACGGCATCTTGCTACTAAGATGCCTACCTTCTTTCATGTACTCAAGGACCAATGGAACCCCGAATCAAACCCGCAGGGAATCGTCAACATTGGACTTGCGGAAAATGTGAGATCCAGGTCGCGCTATCTGGGCCTGACTAACCAAGCTCCATAGACACTGATGCAGGAGGAAATGAAAGCGTTCATCAATTCTCACGTAGGATTTGACGTCCCCTATAGAGAATGTATCCTTGCTAACATAATTTTTAGCTAAGTGTAGAATCGCATGCACTGACATATGGTGATGGATTCTCGGGCTCTATAAAACTCAAAAAAGCGCTCTGCCATTTCTTGAATCATCATTTCCGGCCCCATACTACACTTGTTCCTTCCCACATGGTAGTCACTGCAGGCGCGAGTAATGCGATCGAGTGCTGCGCATGGTCCCTATGTGATCCTGATGATTATGTACTTATTGGACGTCCGTACTGGACTACCTTCAGAACCATGCTTGGCAATCGTGCCAGGTGAGTTAATTTTTGATCGTAAGTAATTACGAACCTAACTTTGTATATGCAGTGTGAATGTCCTTGAAATTCAATTTGAAGGGCTTGACCCCTTCAGCTTAGAAGCGGTTGAATGTTTCAAGGAAGCCTACAAACGAGCTACTGAAGAAGGAAAAATAGTCAAGGCTATTCTTTTATGTTCACCAAACAATCCTCTCGGTTTGTCATCTGTCTATCTACGCCCTGCCATTTCTGACAGCCACATTAGGTCGCTGCTACCCTCAAGAAGTTCTATGCTCATATATGCGGCTTTGCAATGATCTTGACATACACTTGGTTTCTGACGAGCTCTACGCTCTTTCGGTTTGGGAGAATCTTGAGCTTGAAAACCCAATACCGTTCAAATCAGCTCTCTGTTTTGAGGCCAAAAATTTGATGAATCCCGAAAAATTGCATGTCATTTGGGGTATGAGCAAGGTAAGTGACATGAATCCTCGCTAGAGTGATAGATGCTAATGTGTTTCGTAGGACTTCGGTGCAACAGGCTTGAGGATTGGTTGTCTGATCAGTCAGTCAAACAAGCAGTTTTTGGATGCCTGCGAGAGTATTTCGTATGGTTGGCCCCAGCTTAAGTATATGACTTACTAGTACTAATGCAGTGATAGACTTTTCAGCTTCCCATCCAGTCTGGCAGATAACACAGTCGCCGAACTCCTAGCAGATGACTCTTTCACAGAACACTTTATCTCTCTGAACCGAGCTCGCCTCTCGGACAATTATCGTCATATCACCGGACTTCTCAAGGAACGGGGGATTCCGTATAGCCAGTCGAACGCCGCTCTTTTTGTGTGGGTTCATCTAGGCGCGGTGACCCGAAACCGCGCCGCCACCGATGGTGATATTCTTGAATGTTTGCATCGAGAGAAGGTCTATGTCACTTCCGGGTTGACTTACGCTAGCGAAGAGCCAGGATGGTTTCGCATTGTAATCGCACATCCTAAGCACGTGCTGGAAGAAGGCTTTAAGCGCATTGTTCGAGCGATTGCATAGGTATTTTCAAGGCCGATCACGTAAAGATTGCACCTGCGGCAGGTTCTTCGTGAGGTGGCTCGGATTGTTGCTATTATTTCATTGAGAATTCTATACAGGTCCATCGGCAACCTAATGTCAAAGGTCGCACCGCAGAATGAAAGTATCGGGTATGGTCTCACCAACTTTATTGATGTATTACACACCATACCCAAGCCTAATGTTGCCCCCACCCCAGTAGACTGGTTGGACAAACGCATTTGAGAACCTTCTAAGATTGAAAGAGTCACAAATTTGGCCGGGGATCCGCACTTTCGATCAATTGATAAAGTCTTCATCATTACTCATCTCCTTTTGTACCCGTATACAGCGCTACCTCGATGTTCTGGTCTGGCACTTTTTAACCCGAACATCATTCCCAGAAATTCAATTCGCACCAGAATCGTCGACGAAAGATTTGATAATGTAACGAGTATCAACGAAGGAATGTATAATGTGATTAGGGTCTCCACGTCTGCAGCACATGCTCCGGGTCTCAGAGAAATGCTCATCGCGACTACAATGATGATACACTATAAAATACCACGAATAACCCTAGTCAGCTTCGCCACGTCAATGGATCGCTCCATGGGAGACGTTGAAGACTTTGACAGTGGGCGATGAAGAAGTGATTATTATTATTGTTGTTGTTGTTCATACACGCATCTGTCAGCCTTGTAGGCCGAGTGGCGGCAGGTCCTGCGGGGGGCCGGGTAAGCCGCCGAAATGGTAATCGCTATATACATCGTCACTTTTTTGCACATATCTACATATCCTGATATCTTGTTCCGCATGTTGTATGTTCCGTTATGCTGGTTTCGTACTGCCGTTCCCATAGTCATGGAGATCCATGGGCCTCTTTGATACTACCTCGTTTCTGTCCCTACTTCTGCAAGCGCATAACCTTGACTGTGCTATGCTGCCGGTTGCTTCATGTCCGTTACTGTGATTCGGTATGTGGTTGGTAGAGCCTGGAACTGGCCCAGGAGGCCTGTCTCAAGCATGAACCACACCGTATTCGGTACCAAGTATGGTTGTGCTAGGTAGGCCTGGTGATCCAGCTCCCGCCTTGATCTCTGTATAAGATAGCGCAACCGGGGTCCTGCCTGGTTTGTACAGTGGATGAGAATATGGCGTATGTCTTGAGGGCCACGTCCGCAAGAGCATTCAGTCGATTCCATGACATTAAATGTACCAAGGTAACTGGCCAACGCTATCTTCTCGGTCTGCACTTGGATGGGAACTGATGAAGCGGCTCTGCGTAGGCCTTGGTATAGTTGCATTGGTGCTTTCAAAGGCTCTTTCCATAAACAACGGAGGAAGCTCCCGTGAGTGGTAGCGGCCCATTCAGTCTTCCATGCCATGGCTGCTTCTATGCGAAGGGTTCTTCGAGTGCCAGCCATGAGAGTTAGCTCCTCCCCAGCGTCGGGTGCCGGAGAATTAGCGGCTTATTTTGCAAGAGCATTATCACTGATTGGGCTAAATTCATCTTGTTTTTTTCCAAGCATCTGTTTCTTCCTTCACTGCTTGTGTTTCTTGGGTAGTAAAGTATTCTTCCATCAAGGAAAGCTACTCAGATTCCATATCAAACCTTGTTGTATACATAAAAAACATCAGCTCCTTGATTTTTTCGGTTTTAGTGAGCCCCGGCGGTAGTGGCAAGTATCCTGAGCAGAATTGAATAACCGCTCAACGTCGGAACCACTGGCCAGTGTTGTAAGAGCATCTCGGGCAACGCTTGCCAGAATGGGATATTCATGTTGGTGATCTCTCCAGTGTGACGGCCTGGTCATGTTGTCTGGCTATCACGTGAGATGCAGTTGTTTGCTTTCTTGATGAATACGGCGTCACCTCCTTTCTTCCTTCCTCATGTTGATTATTCTCGTCGATAGCTACCTAGGTAGAACCCATGAGTTGGATTTTCCATTATCCTAGTAGAGCGCTGTGACAGAAAATCATAGAGAAATGGCGGAGACTACAAGCATCAAAGGACCAAGTTATCATTCGTCAATCACGGGTTTAGCCCCTTTCTACGCGGACAGACACACTGTATATAGCTCTCTGTTGATGGGTTAGCTTCTTCCTCTTCTTCTATCGATATTCCCATTGACAGGCTACCTAGTCTAGGTATGAACATTATTTATTCTATTTAGGGTGAGTGCTATGCAGAGTATTATTCTTAGGTTTACTTGTGTATCAACACAAGACTCCTTATGTACTGCTTTGTTGCTTGTATGATTATATCCAAAATTTCAAGTAATGACCAATATAAGCATTAGAATTGCGTCAAGATCTAAACCTCAAAGTATAGCGGAGAACACTGACTCTCCTCGACACCAACGCTAATACCCTACGCTGGCGGACGATAATGTGAAAACCGTTATTACTGTCACAGGGAAGCTGTGGATCCATTCTGTTAGGAATTCCAGAAAGACTAGCCCTAGTAATCTCCATAACAGGGACTGTAAGCTTTGTGTGGACCTGTGAAGGGCTGACTAGGGCCGCTTAGATATGCCCAAAATATATTTAATTTTCAAGTCCTAATCAGAAATTTTCAGCATAAGTTTTAATCTCACCATCAGCATTACATCATAGAGATAAGACACAACTTCTTTTTCTCCTACACGCTCTCTTAGTTTCATCAGATAGCCAACACCATGACCGACGTAGAAAAACAAAAGCCCAAATGGGGCGATAATGAAGGTTCAGACTCAGATGCAGATTCATCGGGCATGTCCTCGACATCCCCAAATACGACCAGGGGAGCATTAACTAATGAGTCAACTAACTAGATGCTCCCATTTCTTATGCATCGCTAAAACTGCTTTCAATACCAATAACTACATCAACAACGCCAATCCGCCCGAAAAGACGAGCCCGGCCCCGAGATAAATTTTTGGATCACCGAAGACGCCGCTGCAGTAGCAGCACATGTGTACACATGAGTGTCTTTTTCTCCATCCTTTTCGCAGCATTGGTTGCATTTATCGTTGGTGTGGCAGTATATGCCATCAAGTATGGGCAATTTTAGAACAGATGCTGTTGTTGCGGTGTCGACTATTTGCTTCAACCCTGGTGGTCTTGCTTTTATTTTCTTATGGTTCTAATACCATGCTTGCTTGTATGCTTCTATGAGCTCTACAAAATCTCTAGTGACTAGAACCATCATATGTTGAGCTAATCTCAGGTATTTGAGCATTCTTTGCTGCTCTCCCAAGTACCAACAATATCAAACCCGAAAACAACCATCCCCGGTCTAAACCCCAGCGCTCTGGACCCGCTACACTTTTTGAGCTCTGAAGATCGTTATGATGTTGATGTCTGGGTATTGCTGTCGTGTTATGTTTTCATTCATTTTAGAAATAATAGAAATTAAGCGTAGGGACTTTTTTTTTTTTTTTTTTTTTTTTTCTACCTGTCATTCGCGCTATAAATGATGTTCTTTCAATTTTAGCCTCGAGAAATCCGACATTGTATCTACTTATCAAGATTATATCATGTAGACACCTGTGATTCCTATCTTAAAGTATCATGTTCTTAACAGCCCCATTCACTTCTATCTCATGCAGGAAAGTCATGACTGATGATAAAAAGGAGCCAGATCATGAACTGGCAGTCTGAAAGTCCCAAACAGGAGGACTCAGGTACGCTTTTAAAAAATCTACAGAAAAGAAAAACAGAGAGAACATGACGTTGAGGAAGAAAGAAAGTCCAAATAAAAAATTCAACCAGACACTGACCCATCATGACCGACTCTGACCTCGACAGCGATATTGCTACGAAAGATCCTTCGTCACATCGTGTTGTTCCTGTTTGAAAGCGAATAGACTCATCATATTCATTTCGCCACTGCTTTTTGCGGGAGTTGGAGTCAGAACATGAGTTTTGATCGAATATACGTGATGTTGGTAGTTTAGGATTGGGTGGCCAACAGTCTGCACCACGACCTTTGTGTCCATGAATGCTCTGGAAACGCTCGCTATTTAGCTACCCTCCCCAGCTAAATTAACCACGGTACAGCATCAAACGTCTGCCGTTGCTTAAGCTTTTTCCAGATGCAAATTCCAATAAAGAGTTTATCAGTCAGTCCTAGCTCCAGTGCCAGCCAGCGAAGGGAACCCATTACTTCTTATCTCTCTCTTTATTCTCGACTTGCTGGTTTCTACCCAGTATCCCGTTGCAGTCTGGTCCCAAAGTGTATACTAGTGCGTGTATTTGTTTCGTCTTAATTTTAACAATCGAATGTGTTCGAATTCCTCGTACCTAGTGAAGACAATGGTGACCCTAATGTACACGTAAATTACGAGCACATTCATGCTAGATAACAGAATATCCTAAATGGTAAATTATTAAGGATAGTGATGTCAGTCATATGGGACTAGATAAACCTAACTAGAGAAAAGACCAAACCCGAGTGAAGAGCAGCCGAATCCTTAGTCGGGTTACCTGAATTAAGCTATAATCGGGCTGTTCCTTGTACTAGAACCATTTAGGAGCAAGTATAATGGTTCAATGCAATCATAGTCGTCTGGGTTTCGTTGCTACAATGTCTTATCTGGGAACCATCTTAATCTAACCATCAAGGCTGCGTCATAGAATGCCTAGAAAGGTTGCCTAGCAGATATTTTGTATCTTCCCTCAGTCAAACTTTCTCTGTCAACGTTTATCCCTACCTTTCATCCAAACAAGCTCTTCCAAGCAAAAAGAAAATGGTCTATGCGAGCGGTCAAAGCGAATTCTCGGAGTGGGAACCTGTCATATGGGATGCAGGTATGCTTCCTGAGACAAGAGAAGGAAAAGGGAAAAGCCCCAATAGCAAACTAAACCCACCAGGCTCTCCCCCTCCCTACACGGTATCATCCCCATATACGCCATCATCAAGCCCTCCTCCCTCCTATAAAGCTGTCTCATCGCGCTCAAGCTCTCCCACGCCAATATCAACACCACCATCAGAGCTAGATCCGGAGCTCGGTAATGTTCAGCACGGCCAAGCCTCGTCTCCATATGCACATCAGCCATCTGACTCGCCAGACTCTCCTAAGAAAAGAAGGGGCTGCTGCAACAGAAAAGTGGCCTGGATACTTGGCATATTCATCTTGCTGGGGATCGTAACCACCATAGTCTGCACATGCATTATATTTATTCCACGTCGAGGTAGGGAAGGTACGAACACAGAAGCTGTGCAGGTAGTCGAGACACAGCCACAACCACAGCCAGAACGGATTTTGGCGTCTGAGCCTCATCCTGAGTCTGTGTCCGAGCCCAAGCCTGGACCAGAACTGGAACCGGAGCCTGAACCTGAGGCAGTACCAGAGCCAGAGCTAGAGCCTGTAGTAGAAAAGCCAGCACCGGAACCGGAGTCAGAGCTAGAGCGAGAGCGAGAGCCAGTACAAGAACCCGCTCATGCCTCTACTCCTGATCAAGTTCAAGTTGCGGCTCCATATCCTGCTTATGTGCAGACGTGTACTCACGTCCCATTACTGGGCTGGTTTCTTTCGTGGCTCGACTCTGCTATTTGCTAGCAGAGGAGGTTAGACTTTGTGGCGGCTATGGTATGACATTCTAGCATACATCCTAATGATTTTGCGCTTTCCTTGATTATTTCCTTATCCGTTACTTTTATGCGGTTATTTTCTTCATGATTTAGCTTGCTGTTGCTCTCTAACCATATATGCATTGAACGTGTTAGAACTTTATTACTTTTTATCTAAATAGCTACGTGTTTCTTGCAATCATGAAATAGCATTAAGCTTGTACTGGTGCCTTTCCCGGTCTGCGGCACTGTAATTCATTCTCGCGGGAACGCGTGGTCTTTGGAATAGAATACACCATTTACGGAGAGAACCTCACATATCATTTTGAATAATGCCTATGTACCTGCCGATATCCTTTTGACACAGTATGTGTTCTACCGCAACCAATGGATCGTGAGTCTGGGGATGGAACCTTATTGATCTGGCCACCAGAATTGCATCACAAAAATTGTCTCTCGAAGAATATACGCACTGGATTCCAGTTTCAATGTATCTGAGAGCAAGCAAAATGCCGTTTACATACGACCAGAACGAACGAGATCTTGAATGGGGTGACAAGCGTCCAAGCACGTGTCTCCATGATTCGAAAACGGACTAACAAATCCAACCAGGCACTTCCCCTCCCCCGTCATATCCTTTTTCATCGTACTATCCCCCCTCATACACATCACTATCACCAATCCCCGAAGCAGTGGGGACGCCAGCATCAGCTCCATCACAACCTGCGCAAGCACGAACATCAACACTATCGCGGCTTAAGCCAACCCAACGTCGGTTCGAACCTATAAGGTCCAGCTGCTACTTTTATGCAAAAAGCTGCAGGTTTTTCTAGTTGACAGTTTTCGTACTCGTGGAAATTGGGTTTATAGTCTGTTTCATTCTGGGGATGATTGATTATTTTGTGCCTGGAACTCCTGCTGTTTAGAATGTTCTTAGCCATTTTGCTCTCGCTTCTATGACACCTAGCTGATTTGTTGTATTTACATATTGAATGATCAAGGAAAGTAGTTTCATATCTGATATAACTAAGTTCATGGCGTTATCGATCTAGTCATCAGGATTGCTTGTCGAAGAATTTTTCGAATGATCGAAGCCAAAGTGTCAAGCACATCTTCAAGATTCACAATGTCTATGGCCATTTTCATTTGATATATCCTGATGGCGGATATGCTAGCCTCATTAGTGGCCCGGTTTGTCGCGAAGGTCGGACGCATCAGGAGCGGCTAATGTATAAGCACCGAGTCCATTCTGAACTACCTGCTGACAGCCATTTGAAAACAAGAAAGATGATGTTCCCGCGCAAGAGAACTAGAGTGGAGTCACAAGAGCCCAGGTATGTATCCACATAACTTGCAAAAAGAAAAACGGCATCACAAATATAATCAGAAAATTCTTCTCTCCTATTAACTACCTAGTCATTGCTTGCTTTTCTGGCTAATTGACCGGAACGGCAGAACAAATATCAGCCAGGAAAGTCACATGGCTGTAAACTCTTCTCAACCCATGGGTCTCCAATCATCTCCAGATCTACGATCCAAGTTTCCCCGATCGAATGATTAGCCGCCATGGCTGAAAAACAGAAAGCTCGCACTAGGTCACCAATGGATGCTGGCGATGGGCGTCCTAAACGGACGCGTCGAGGCTTCGCCGCCGCGCGTTCGTGGGACGGCGCCCTCGAAAGCTAGAAGCATCCGAGGCTAAGAGTTTTGAAGCGAGTGTGCCATAGCGACCGAGCAGCTTTCTAGTTGCCTGATTTGATTACTCTACCACCTCGACAGTTCGTTTAGATGGACCAAAGACACGCGCAGCACTTCATCTGGGAGGCAAAGTATGTGGTGTAGTATACCTTGACGGGAGACCTCACCATTAGCTAATCAAGCGAAGTCTCCCCGCTTAGTGTGCGGCTTACTGGGTATGGCGTAATAACAAGCGTGAATAAGCACCATGGTACGTGTTTAGATAGAAAGAAGATAAACAGAGCTTTATACAGTAATAGGGTCGCACTAATGCTATCAAGTGCGTGCCCAGAGAATAGTACAGCATAACTCGATGCATAAAATGCAGGTTCCACATGATAGAAGGCTTAGGGTTTAAGGCGGGGTTTACCTTATTTTGGCGACCTTCGCGGCCTCTCCATCCGCCCTTTGTCAACATCTCATACAAATCTGGTACAGTACTTGACGTCTTCATCTACAGATTGGCAGAGATTACCACATCCTCAAAACTTCTCAAATATCCACCCATACTGATCCTCGCCAGCCGCCTGATGCACAATGTCTACTTCCACTCCCACACTGACCGTCTACGACATCCTGATGCGCGAGCCCGTACAGGAGAACGCCTGCTCCCCCAACCCAACAAAAACCCGCCAAACCCTAAACTTTAAGTCCATCCCCTACAAAACAACATGGGTCGACCTGCCAGACATTGCCAAAACCCGCAAATCGCTGAGCATTCCCGCAGGCCGCAAATTCGCCGATGGGAGCGAATTCTACACCCTCCCTGTACTTGTTGACAGCGCCACAAACTCCAAAATCGGCGACTCTTTCGATATCGCGGTGTACATGCACGAGACGTATCCCAGTGCTGGCGGGGACTTGTTTCCTCAGGGTGTAGAGCTGGATTTCCGGACTAGCAATACGGCCATGCTCGTTCCGCTTTCTGAGCTTAGTGAGGTTGCGAGACTGGAAAAGTATATCCGCTACGCTGAATTCAACACGCATGTTGACGCCGCGTTTACGGCGCACACGATCCTGAACGTCATGGGGTTACCGTTCAACCCGGAGACTGCGGAGGCGTCGAAGGCAGAGTTCTGTCGGCGGGTGGGGATGCCCTCATTTGAGGCGTTCAATGTCACTGGTGAGGCGAGACGGGGGATTATGGCCTCGTTTGAGGAGACTCTGGGGGATCTGGCGAGGCTGTTTGTTCGTGATCAGACGGGACCGTTTATCTTGGGGGATAAACCCTGCTATGCGGATTTCATAGTAGGGGGTTGGTTGAGGATGTTTAGTGTTTGTATGCCGCAGGAGGAGTGGGAGGAGGTGAGGGGATGGCATGGGGGTATCTTTGGGAAGTTGTTTGATGGGTTGAGGGGGTTTTATAAGATCAATTAGAGGGTCTTCTTCTCGGGTTAGGGGCATGAAAGTGTTCGTGTGCGGATGTGAATCCTGCTTCCGTCTATCTGTAAGTAGAACAGTCTTTCTTTACCATCTAGATCACTGCTGTTGTCCCCCTAGAGATCAATTGAGAACTCGTCATGCATACCGGTATCCGATCTTTGACTATTCCTGCTTAACAGGGTCGGGTACATTTCCCCCGAACCGAGTCCAAAGCCGTAACTCTAGGTAACATAGTTATAGGTAGTATCTCAGTAACTAAAGTGCTGATAAATCTGAACTGGGCTAAAATAATCCCTTCCCTCCCCTTCGCCCTATCCAAAACCAGCAAGTCCCGTTATCCCCTAAAAACCCCAGCAGGGTTAACTGCCATCTCCCGAATATCCAAACTCTTCCCCTCAACCCTCCTTACCTCCAACACCCCTTCACCATTATCATTACCATTATCTGCCAAAGAAATCCTGTACCTGGCCTTATACTCCTCCGCGAACCGAGTATAATCCCGCTCAGGCTCTCCTTGGCAAGGGTACGACCGTCCCGTCCAGAGGATAAGCCGGAATGAGCTGCTGGTCCCAATCCCGGCCTGGCGACGAGCATTGAAGAAAAGTTTACCAAGCCTGAGCGCGTTTATGGTGGACAGACTTGGTCTGAGTGGGGTCTTGATGTCGCGAAGACCGAGCTCGAGGTGTAGGGTTAGGGTGGGGGGGTGTTTGGAGCGGATGGCTAGAGTCGTGAGGAAGGAGAGGGGTATGTCCCATGGCCTCTGTTAGTCTGTTGCATTGGTACGCAGTGTTTACACTGCAGGTGTGAATTGTATCTTACCCACTCCCTACTTCTCTCAAAATCAGCCTTCAGCACCTGTAGCCCAGGTCACCGTTGATCCAAAACCACCAATCCTCAACACTAAGAACCCTGCGTTTCTTTGCCGGAATCTCATCCACATGCGACGTAAGCTCTCCGAGCCCCGCATGCCGGCAAATCGTGTTAGCCCGATTCGGCCAGTACCCCCTCAGTTCAAGGATCTCCAGGGACTTAAACGAGTCTAGAAGCCTCGCAAGACCCTCGCGCCATCTGCCATGGCCTTCATCATTCAGGCCCGCATACGAGAGAACTCTTAGCGTCATAAGCGATGTCGCAAATCCAGCGAACTGACCGACCAATCCGCCGGGAACCTGCCCGTATCTCCCAAATGTCACCTGGGGTCCAACAAATAAAGATCGCCATTTAGACCAGTCGAGTCCGTCGTGCCAGTACGGCCACTCCTCGTCATCCTAAAGCGACGCAGCCGCGGGCACCAGAAGAACAAGCCCTGTACCGCGCGCATGGGCTCATTATTCCCGCTCGGCGTAGCGAAGGGACCGATTATCACGGCGAGGCTGGAGATACAGGGGAGTGCCTGAGATTAAAGTCCCCGTCTGCGTCTGCAGCTGAGGCTGTGGGTCCAGAAACAGCCTTTGCAAAGTGAAACTCCCTACGCTTATCTGTCTCAGATATCGTAATTTCGAGCTCCGGCTGTCGCGGGTGAGCAGCAATAGCACGGACTAGCTCCGCACAATCTTTCTGCACCTTCTTACAACCCAGCCTAATCCGTCACAGATTCGGAAGGCGAATAATCAAGCGACGAAGCCGGCCGTAGTTATCCTCGCGCAGGTAAACCAGGTATCCAGTCCATGACGAGCTGTGCGGGAAAATGACCTCTCGCACATAGTTCCGGATCCCTTCGTCGCTGTCGAGTCGAGCGAACAGAACCCAGCGCGCGCGGTCGTACTCGGGGGTTCGGTTTGGGTTGGACGAATCGCCAGCTCTTTGGCGCTCGGCGCCTTGGCAGTGGGACCCAGAAATCAAAGATGAGTATGGACCAGTGAAGCTGGTTTTGAACCTACCTGTATTTAGAACTTAATAAAGGCTTAACAGCTTGGAGCAAGGGTAGAATTAACGCGCAGTTCCTTCTTGGTGGATCTGTTGCTAGAAACTAAAGGAATTAGGGGATTTTCCCGCCCAGTAGGCCCGTCATCATCATCCAAGCTGTTGTTGACCACATGAGAGTTAGCGCATTCACATAATTCATAAGACTTGCACAATACGCCACAATAAAATGGATGTTGAAAATAGTTCAATAAACCACTCATGCCAAGGTGTTGGCGGTGGGGCCTAGACCTCGTAAGGAGTCGCGACTCGTCAGGTTCGATTCGACTCAGAACCGCCAAGATTCAGGGTCAGGTTCCAAGGCCTTGGAGTCGCGATCCGACTTCAGGATTTTTGGAATCGAACCTGGCAGGTTCGACTCGAACCTCAGGTTCCACAAACAGTGCAAACATAGGAAATCCTGTGATATGCATATTTTATGCACATCCTGTCTGTAATTTTGTGTAATTGGTTTACAGTTCAGGCAGAGATCAGAGCAAATAATTCTAGTAGGGAATCAGCTGAGAGCTTTCATGTTTCTAATCCTACTTCTAATCCTACTATTCTTTAAGGCTTATTATACACAAACTGATCCTCATCTCGCCTCAGACGCTTTGGAACCCGTCCTGATGTTCGCCTCCGAGTATTATTTTCGCCATACAGGTTGCTGTTGTCAGGCAGAGGATTTTCATCCTCATTGTTCTCATTATTTAGTTCATTCAGTGCCTCCTGGTCCTCTGTAATATCAATCCTGGGCCTTTTACTGGGCACACACTCACTGGGCAGCCGTAGCAGCAGGGATATAGTCACTGGGGCATCTTCCTCATCATCACTAATTGGATTGAATTCATCTCCTGTTTTATGTGCATCCTTTTCTTCCCTTGCTGCTTGGATCTCCCAGGCTGTGAGGTATTCATCAACAAGGGCTAGCTGCTCTGATTCAATATCAAATTTTGATGTACACATAAACATCATAAGATCCCTTATTGTTGTGGATTTGAGAGAGCCTCGACGGTAGTGACATATATCACAAGCTGAATTGAATAGTCATTCAACACCAGAACCAGTAGCAGGTGTTGTAAGCACATCTCGTGCTAGGCTTGCAAGGATAGGAAATTCATGCTGTTGATCCTTCCAGAAAAGCCGCGGATTGATCAGACGAGTGCCTAGAAATAAGATAAGCAAGGGAGATAGAAGAGGTCAGGGTGAGTAGCATACTGCTTCCAAGATATCGTGTAAGTTCATTGTTGACGTCCATCTGTGGCTGGAAGGCTGTAGTTGATGTGATAAGCATATCAATATCAGAGACCTGATCAGCCGAATATTGACCATTGGATCTAGGCTGTGTATCTGAATATTGCTGTTGGTAGGGCACAAGGCAATCCTCAAGGCTTTTGCAGTATCATACGCGCCAGCATGGCTCCCAATCCTTGGTTGAAAAGAAATGAAGCTTATTTTGCGGGGCCAAAATTGTACCAATTGCATACAGATCACCAGGGATTTCATCAGTCATGCTATAATACTGGGATAGCTTCAACTTGGCTTGCTTTAGGGCAGATAGCATCACTGTCTTCCAGTTGACCTTCTTTCGTGCAAGCTTTGCCATCGATTTCTCTAGATGACTGAACAGTTTGTTGTAGATACCAAAAATGGTATGGACAGTGATATCCTTACTCTTCGACAGGGTGGTTGTGAAGGTATAAAAAGGCTGGGTGATTGTAAGAAGATAATCAACCTGCCGCCATTCCTCTTGGCTTAGCTGTAGATCATGGCGACTGTACTGCATACAGAATTCATCACAAACAGTTTGTAGCCGCTTAGCACGTCGAAGCATCAGATATGTTGAATTCCAGC